AACCACATGGACAAAATACCACTCGTCTTCCTTCTCAATTATTTTGTTATTATCATTTTATCACCTAGTTTTGGGGTTTAAGGCGTTATATTTAAGACTTCTTATAAATATATAAATTGATATAAATTAGTAGGAAGTCAAATTATTTATCCATCATAATAATATAGTTATTTTTAATAATTTAATTAATGATTAGTTCAAAATAATTATCATATTATCAAAAAAAAGAAAATAAAAAATATTTAGACTAATTTAAGAGACCCAACATTGTGTTGGTTACTTTTATTTATGGAAAAATTTCATTCTAGAATCGCTAAGGCAATTTAATATTAAATAAGGATTAAAAGCTTTTGAAATATTACTGTAGGATCAAGAGACTATTCAAAATGATTTTAAATAAAAAAGACTATAATACTCTTGCCTTTATTTTAAAAAAAAACCTGTCAATTAGTAAATAATTTTTTATTAAATGTGAATGTGTACTTATTAATTAAATGAATGACTAGTTATTAAAATATAATTTACACTTGTCTTTTCCCACAACCAAATTCTTTTATATTCTTAAACTTGTTAAATTTTTAAATGACTTCTTGTTAAATCTAAATGTGTACCTATAAAATAATGGATGGCTATTGGTTGAAATTAGATTTATTTGTTTTTTTTTTGTACAACCAAGTGTATTTTTATATTTTTTAAACTTGTTAATTAACAAACAAATTTTTATTAAATATAATGGATACTTGTTATTTAATGAATGACTATTTGCCAATTGAAAAAGAAAAAACAAGGGTATTATAATATTTTTTTCATATAAAATTATCTTTAAATCAATCCCTTAATTTTACAACAATATTCATAATTTTTTATCTTTATTTAATATTAAATACCTTCAATGATCTTTGATATTTTTCCTTTACTTATATTAGGAAAAGAAAGGATGAATCATGAGGAGCTAGAGTAAAAGGGCTCATATTTTGCTGACATGTACCAAAGTCTTTTTACCCTTTTGTTGGCGTATGCTTAATCTCGTATTCATCTTCCACATTTCACTTAATTTAGCCGAATAAGAAAGAAAGATCTTTTCCCTTAACTTTTATTTTGATCATACCTTGTCAATTTGTTTCTAGGTCAGCATATTTTTACCATATCAATAAAAGAAGTTAACAAAATTACAATGAAATTAACTTCATTAATATTAGCTCATGGTCTTCATAAAATTTTTAAAACTATTGGTACTAATACTATAGACAAATCAAACTAAATGAACTAGGAATAACAAAATAAAACTATAGGGATTAAAAAATAAAAAAACAAAACAAAACACAATTCAAGTATAAGGACCTACTGTGTTATTTTCCCAAAAAAAAAAATTATGGGAGAGATCCTGATTGAGTTAGATAATGTTTGACTATAGCCAATTATTATGGTATTCAATATATATAATACATACACATATATATGCAGAGGCCAATCAACAGAGATAAGTTTCACATTTTATTCTGAAACTTGAATAATAATTTAGGGTGTATAAAATAGATAAAGAGATAACAAAGCTTTTAGTTCTTTTAAATTTATTTTAATTATCGATTTGGTTTCCTCAAATTTAATTTTTTTATTTGATTCCTTATGCTTTCTTAAATTATCATGACTCATTTAATTTTAAAACACAAATTAATTATCTAAATAATCTAATTTATAAAGTATATTAATGACTTAACATATATATGTAGCTAAATAAAAACCAACTAACCCTCAAATCAATTAATTTTTTTATATCAATATAATCACATTCAATGTACTTTATTCTCTTGTATTTTAAATTTCAGAGTCTGATTTTTTTCACTCAAAATATGGATCCTATTATCAATGTCAGCAAATGTTAACAATATTATTTTTTAAATAATAAAAATTAAATTGATAATCAAAATAAATTAAAGAATCAATTTGATATAAATTAAATTTAAGGGACTAAAACTTATACAATCTTTGATGAAATTTTTCAGACCGCCTATATTAAGATATTTAATTAACTTTAATTTAATTAATTTAAAAAAAAAGGTGCTTTTTTCTCTCCCCTTTGACACCGACTCTTCTTGAATGATGGTAACCAATTTGAATCCTTCCATTTTCATCAATCCTCTCTGTTATAAGTACCAAACCTCCCGTGCGTCTCCATTTGCTCTTTCCATCGTTTTCATTTTGCCGCATTAAACAGACTTATAATCCACACACTCCTTCTTCCTCGATCGTTTCATGTGTTTCTTAAAGGTGGCGAATCCTAGTACGCACACCTCCAACAACGTTGTTCATGTTCCTTCTTCGTCGCTGCCGATTGTATTCCCAGGTATGGATAGGGACAGAGAGATGTCTGCTATGGTTTCTGCTCTCAGCCACGTCGTCGCCGGAGATATTCCCGGTGATTCCAGTGAAATTTCTTCAGGCGGTGGCGGCGGCGGCGGCCGAGGTGGAGGGGACTCTGTTACATTAAACTCCCTGTCAGATTCAACGATGCCGTCTTCGTGTCCTTCGTCTTACGGTGGTAACTCTGCTTTGAAGCGAAACAGGGAAGATTATATTAGAGGCTCTTCCACTGCAATTATTCCAACAGGTTGGTACTATTCAATCAAAATATTAATTCAATTCTAATATGATTTTTTTTTTTTGGGTGTTCATTCCGGTTATTATTATTTTTCCAAATGGGAGGTTGATAATTGATAGCTTGCTTGATTTTATGCTCATAAATTAAAAAATAAAAGTTGTCTGGAAGTGTTTGCAACAGTCAACAGATGCCTATAAGCTAGAATTCATCTTTAGCTTGGAAATTCTTAAACACTGATTAGAATACAGAAGAAGATTATACCCTCATCAGATGATTTTCCTTGTCAAGTAACAAGAAATCTCATAATATTCAAATTCAAGTAAATCTGGTTAGTTAATCATTCAACTAATATGTCTTGATTGTATTTTGGCCGGTATAATAATTGTCTGATTTTTAGTACCTTCAAAAATTTTGTAACAAGGTTAACTACATGTTTCTGTCAGTTCTGATAATTCTGTATCGTATCCTAGAGGTAAAAATAAAAACCTTGTTTTTTTCCTTTAAATGTCTTATATGATAGTACATTCTGTTCTGGTTGGGATTTGTGGGTTTTACATATATATGTCCATAAATGCTTTCACGTTTTTATATATGCTTCAAAACCAAAATTCCACTAGGAAAAAATAAAATAAAATAAAATTGTGCCGAAGACAGAACAGTACGAGCACTTGAATCATTACTTTAACCGCTTTAATAGAAATAGATTGAGTGCACAAAACTAGATATCACTTTCACACACAATTCTCTGATTATTATTGTATCACCACACAGTTGCAGCAGAAGGTTCAAGAGGAGAGAGAATGGAAATGGAAAATGCAGTGTATGAATATAGCTGTAATGTAGAGACTGTGGGAAGATCAGGGGAAGGAAGAAGAAAGTACAGAGGAGTGAGACAGAGGCCATGGGGCAAGTGGGCGGCTGAGATAAGAGATCCTTTCAAAGCTGCCCGAGTTTGGTTGGGCACTTTTGACACGGCGGAGGCGGCTGCCCGGGCCTACGATGAAGCTGCCCTGCGTTTCAGAGGCAACAAGGCCAAGCTTAATTTCCCTGAGAATGTCAGGCTCCGGCAACCGCCTCCGACGACGGCGACGACCCATGTGAGAGGTTCCGGTTCTGCAACTACCCTTTTGTCCACTCCGACGTCCACCGAGCCGATTGTTCATACTGAAGCTCTTCATCACCACCGTCTTATGAGTTCTGAACCGGCGGCAGCGCCCGTTGATTTTTATAACTATTCGCAGTTTTCGGAGTTTCCCATGAATTTTTATGATCAGATGGTTATGACATCTTCAATGGCCCATCATTCTGAGTCATCCTCATTGCCGTCCTCATCTTCATCTTCTACATTGGCATCTTCTGTTACCTCTCAGCAGGGCCAAGCAGGTTTGCCTTATCCGGGTTGGGTCATGCCGGAAACGGGTCAGGAAAGTGGATCCGAATACTTACAATCAGCATGGTCAGCTTCGGGTCATAGTACTTCTTCCTCTGCGTGATCCTGTAATTTAATTCTTACGATTTATTATTATTTAACCTCTCTTTTTATTTTGTTTTATTTTTTTTGCATGAGAATCATTTCATTTTACAGTGTTTCATTAGGGATGAATTTTAATAATTTCTCTAAATTCTCCATTTTTTTGGAAGGGAGAGATAGGAACTAAACAAGCGAAGAGAAGGCGAGCTTATCAATTTTGATGGTGTTTGGGATGGCATTAATAATATATAAGACTTAAGAGTATTTCAAATGTCATACTCAAGGAAAGTTGCATTTTATGAAGCCAATTAATTCTCAATCAAACACAAATTCTTGAAACTACCCATAGCTTATTTATTTGTATCTTCCTTTTATATTTAAACTAGTTTTTTTTTTTTAATCTTTTAGTTCATCAAGCCCTTCTTGTGGTATTCTTTGTAAGCGTTGATATCTCCATACTCTCTCACCCATGGGGTGATTGTATCCACAAAACATCCTTCTAGTTCTTTTTACTCCAATGCTGCTAAATGAGTCATTTGAAGACGAGAAAGATCATACCATGCAAAACCATTCTCACAAAACTCAACTTAATCATGTTTCTCTTCAAATATGAGCCTAAATGTCGATATTTTACATATATAATAGACACATCAAAAGAAAAATCTTGAAATAAAAAAATGGTAATATATGTATAAAATATTTTTAAAACAAATTAATCACATACTTGTGTTATATATTTAATATAATATTATTAAAAATTAACGGAAAAATATAAATATTTATCTGCTAATATGACATAGGAATGTACTTTTTTTGGGAGGAAACAAATATATACAGGTATTAACCCCTTTTTTCCTGATAAAACGGTCAAATTTCACGTGTATTAATTCCTTGATTATTAAATAAATGAACTAATCCTAATTTTTTTGAAACGTAATGTTAATGTATCCAATCAAAAATATCACCGGTATTTTTTGTATAATTATGTGATATACAGTAATGTTAAGTTTAACTTACGTATTAGCAAATCTAATTGAAATAGATCTTCCCATTAGCGCCTTCTAATTAGTATTGACATTCACTGTTGTATATGAAAGCAGGGTTGTCTGTAATGAGTAGTGATTACCAAATAATAATTGAATAACATTCCTTCTACAATTTTACTCTCTTTCTAAAAATAATATCATTGAAAAATCTCTGAAAAAATTTAATATCTAAAAAAGATTTGAATCAATCGGATATTTGTTAAAATAAAAATTTTACTCGTTAGTCGCTAATGCTTACTTGTTAACAGTCCTTTTATGAAATTAAATTAATAATTGGGAATGTACTAATTGTTAATGCTTACTTCACTCAGGAAAATGTATTAATTAATAATTGGATGCACGTAAATACTTTGTCTGTACTCCAACTAGAAATCCACTCACGACAAGTGGCCCCAAGTATTTGACCATAATGGACATGAGGTTGACGACAGACCATACATAATGAAATACAATTACGAAACCAAGTCTTTGGTTCACCACGCAAGCGACCAATTGTTTGCAGAAGATTACGGTTGGGGGAATCTGATTATCTTGAAAAAAGGACCGCTAATGAAGCAAGAGAGATTCCCAAAAGAAAAAAACAGTATGAAATGAAGCTGGAAGAGACTTGGACGATAGTTCTACATTGCGTTTGAGCTAAGTAACCCACAAATTGAAATTGTTTCTTCGAAGCATCATTTTTTTCGCTTTTACACATCGATCCTCCCCAGTCTCCACATGAAAATGGTACGTGATTGAACCTCTTCAGCTACCTGGAACTCAGTAGCGTGCTAATTGATTCACAAGCAACCCAGTGGTCGTCAAACTCAGCATTGCCAAATTGCCCAATTCACGCAATTACTAGTATTCTAATGCCGGCCATAATTTTCAATTTATAAAGAAACAAAACATTCATATCATCATCGTGATACTATAGCACAGGCAGTTAATTAGAATCTAGAACAAGACTTTGACAATATAAAGACTTCTCCCTTAAGATAGATTGATTGAAGAATAATTATTCACAATATCAATCAAGAAAACGATAAACACAGTTCATTTCTACACTAAGCGAGCCTAAGTTTCCAAGGGCAAAAGGCGAAAATTCTCAAACGTCCAGAGAGGAGCTTAGAAAGACCATTTTATTTTTGAGCTTTGGATATCAATAAGGAAGTGATTCGGTATGTCTAATATATTTAAAAAACAAACTAGATGGTTGGACAAATGACATGAAACAAATCAAAATCTATATACCCTCTTTAATTCTATTTATAAATAATTTTCAACATATTTCACTAAAACTAGAGTAAACCTTAAACCTCATTAACTTTATCTTAAAATTTAACAGATTTGCACATTTATCCCTAATAAACATTTTTAACTCTTATTACTAGCATTTTTATTCAAATCATTTAATAAGGACAAAAATGTAAAAAAAAACTTTAAAATTTGACAAATAGCCTATAAATAAGATCAAATTTTTTCTTTTCTCTCTATCCTATAAATAAGATTGGAGGAATATGTTTTATATAGGATATCCGTATCCTCCATATACTGAAACTATAACCATTTAAGTTCAATTTCATCTTCCATAAATAACAGAAAATTTTGCTCCAAGAACTCCGCAAGGGTGAATGCAAATCAACTCATGGTGAAGGGAAAATAGGCTACACAAAGAAACAAGTAAATTCAACTAAGACAAAAGAATATAAATGAAGGCACTCAATTTTTTCCCCACTGCTACAAAGAAGCCCGTTAAGGATCCTGCCATTAGTCAGTGGTAAAATATGTATCAGTAGTATACAACAATGTTACTTTTCAGTACTAAAAAAGCATCTATCCAACTCTACCCTGAACGCCTGAGACAAAATAAAATGATAAAGGAACTTTCGATCAATGCTATTCCTCACCAACCCCACCTAGGGCAATTCAAAGGATCATCCTGATCATGCAACTTCAATCCAAAATCACATTTGTTATGGAACAACCTGCAATAACAAGAATAAAATATTAGAACAAAAAAGAAAGCGCCACAGAAATGAATCAACATCATACTTCCATGAATTACAAATTTCTCTTACTTCCCTCCAAGTCCCTGTAAAAACAATGACTTGCAGGAAATTTGGAGGGAGGCAAGAGTGGACGATAAGGACAACATTGCACTCCAAATTGCTGACTCGAACCTTTTTAAACCTTCAATGCAGACTTATGCACCATGGTTTCTTTATGTATTTGATGACAGCTCTTCTCCACAAGATCAAGCAATTTCTCCAAGTTTGCTGACCAGGAGTTTAGAATGTCATTGCTATCCTTTGCACTTTGGAAACAAACTATTCCCATAGGTCTGTCGATCTTTGCCACCAGTGCCTTGGATACAACCATGTCAGAGAGATGCTTCTCAGCCTCCTAAATATTGTAAGGAAAATAAATTAGAGCCTTCGCCAACATATTTAAACGCATCTGAACAATTCAAAACATGCGAGTGAAAATGAATCATGCCCAGTAGACAAACTATAATAATAAGCAAAATGACCATCTTGACAATTAAAGTAATAGGCCTTCATCCCTGAAAACCCAATTCCAACTTTTTCTTCTGTTTACATTGTGCACGAAATTGGCTATTTTCCCATAATTTTAGTCATTCACATATGCCTAAAATCCATATGCCATTTAAGCTAATAATTTGTCACTGTAACACTTTTGGCACAAAATCACAGATTATCATTACAAACCTGGATGCTGAGACACAAAAGCTCTGCAAGTCTCTTCAAAGTGATCCTTGAATAGTACTTTGACACAACAAGAATGTTCTGCCAAGAGAAACAAAACCATTAGTGTCTATGAACCAAAAAACATGCAAAAATAAGACAAACGCCACATGTCCCACAATCCCTCTCAGCCCATAAGGAAACAAGAGGCCCAAAAGCATGTTATGGTGCCAGTCAAATTACATGTTCTATAATTCTTTCCCTCAGATCTTCTGCTGCTTTGTCTCCCAAGTATCCTCCAAGCAAGTTCTTCTCATTCTCAAACTCATTCTTATATGCATCCCAAAGACCTGTCCATTGGATGACCTCCATGGTGACAAGCTGTTTCAACAACAACCTATGGCACAAAATAAATCAAACCGATCAGATGTGATTGTAAATGACAATATACATTAAGAACTTACACAGGAAGAGAGCAAAAAGACAAGAAAGACAGACTGAGATCAGGATAACATACTGAGATCAGGATAACATACTTGAAATTTGCAATTTCAGAAAGATTTTTATCTTCCAAGGTGGAATTGAGAAGGCTGGATTGCATTGGATCATATGGGGCTAGAACTAAGTACCAACATATTTTCCTCAGGATCTACAGCAATTGGCAATGGAAAATTTAGACCAAAAGATAATGTCAAGATCAAAATAAAGCTTAACAATAACAGATAAAGAAATTAAGAAAATCAATAAATGAAGGAACACTTACTGGTATCCACTGGGTTGGATTTTCTTTGACAGATGGAATCTCATATATGGACTTATAGCATCGGCAAATCTCAAGGTAATCGTTGTTATGAGAATAATACCTACATGAATAAACATAAGCCAGGATGGCGTGCTTACAAATCACTAGATTAGCATGTTAAGAAACAGGAAATAAAGGACATCACATCATGGAAACAAACAACATGCTGCAAATGGATACTTCCAACATACATTCAAATTATACAAACTCACGCAAAGGCAACCAACTTAAATGGACCAGGCATTGACAATATTCATCAGAGAAATAAATCAATACACCATCATCCAAGTATATCATAATTTTTTAACAACACGACAGTATATATTATATATGAAGCACATTATATGTTATACATTATAACTTCTACAACAAAAATTGATTACGAACATCATATATAATATATCAAGTCGAAGGTCTCAGAAAACTAGTTATATATATGATATCAGAGTTGTGCAAGCAACTCTATTTCTTCCGGGCCTTTTTATGGTTGTCTTTTAGAAGGTTTAGGTTCAAAACTTCCAAATCCCAAACTATAGATTTGTCTGGAGTTAAAGAGATAGGTATGTGGTTTAACATGCCCAAAGCCAAGCTAGAATTCAATACAGCAATGTGAACGCATTATGAGTACCACTTCAGTATCATCCTAGTAGTGTTTCATGGTTGCATATCACCATGCCAAATAGAGCATAAACAAAAGGATATATAGCAATAACAGTCAAATCTGTATGTCCCAATAAACTCTTCGATAAACAGCACTATCCCCCAGAACCAATCAGCAAATCAAAAACAGAGAGTTGGAAGCATTTATATTCCAAAGTTCATCGCAGCAGACACAAACAAATAAAAGCAAGGAAGAAAACTACAGGAGGAACACCCAGGCATGTTTATTGCAAATATACATTGAGTCATAAACTACATCAATACACGGAGGGCAAAGTCTACGCTCCATTTGCCCTTGTCCTTATTGTCGGATCTATTGAGAACACCTTATAAAACCTGATAGAAAAATTCACAGAATTTTCGTAGCTTAAGCCAATAAAAAACCATACCCTCAAATCTTAACAAAACAGAAAAGCCAAAAGGCCAGTGCCAGACATGTATTTATATAGGGTACATAAAGGGAATTAAAAGAAACACTAAACACCCAAAGTTCAGACACAACATTCGTAAGTTAAGTAAACCAAAATTGAACGCTATAACAAGACACCAGGTCAAGGGGATGCAAATACCGAATCATTAATTCATAGTAAATCCGCTTCAATTCCAACAGTGAGGGTATATCTTCAGCAGGCTCCTCAACCACATTATCACCTTCTTTAGGTTTTTTCTTCTCCTTAGATGCATCTGCATCAAATACTCTTGGACTAATCTTTCTTGAAAGTATTTGAGCACGAACATAATCTTGGCGATCTAGGCACAAACGAACCTGCAAGTTCGACGTAAAAGATTGTCAAATCCGAAACTAAATTGCAGCAAAAAGAAATTGATGCATTAAACTTAATATCGTCATTTGGAGAAAGAGAATAATGCCTCGTACTTGCTCAAGAATGAAAGCAATTTTCTCAGTTTTTGCCATGGCACCAAAAGTTTCCACCTGTAAAGGTTTCTCAAACATAAGTCACCTGACAGCTAAATACACAAATTATTTTCAACCGAAAGTCAAAGAAATTCAAAAGTCATAAAATCATGAAAAATCCACTGACCGCAACTTCTTGCATCAAATCAGCAGCTTCAGCTATATGCCCTTGTTGTTCCTTAATCTTTGCAAGTTTCTTTATCAGCCTAGCTCTCTCAATCTCAACATATATCTAGCAAAAGAAAAATTAACAATGCATAAAATATACATCTTAAAGTATGGACCATGTTTGTACCAGGGGATACTAGTTATACAAAAAAGTGTAAAACAAAAAATGCTCACCTTCCCAGCAGACACACTATTTAAAGTTTTGATGAGTTCTATACGAGTATCAAGGTCTGGTGTCTCATCAATATACTGCATGGCCTGCTGGACCATAGCTGTTACAGCCTGTGTACCAAAAAACATAACCTTGTTGCTAAAGGACCAGTTACATGACAAGCAGAGAACATCTAACAGCAAAATGAAATCACAACTTGTCCGCCACACAAGCTTAAAAGATACCCTGCTTGTATGTAGAACTACATGGTAGGGAAATGATTTAACATTACACCACCATCACGGTCCCACAGAAGGGGCAACCTTCTAGCTCAAAATTCCAGCATGAAGAGACATTGTCGAACAGTGCAAACTTTTCGTCACAATGACGGATGAAATTAATGTAATCCAAAGCTTCCCTAATTGCACTTACTTGGACAGTGTCCTATTGGTTCTCAACAAAATTCACACCAACCATCCACCCTAAAGATACTAAAGACTTTGGAATACACAACTAGGATAGAATAGCTAAATACCCTAAGCATTTCGCGTCAATAACCACCAATTATGAAGCGGACTAAACAAGGACAGCAACATCTAAATCCCTAGGACAAAATATACCTCTAGAGAGTGCCATTAAATAATCTCAAAGGCTCAACCCCCGTTAGAAACAAATAGTTACCTGCTTAAGCTGACCGCGTCGTTTCGACAAGACAATAATCTGGTCATTGAGAGTTTTCCAGGCTCGTGCTTCAAAGCACAGCTGCAAAATGTCAGTGACGGCTTTTTTAGTGCCGGAAACGTCGCCGGCGAGTCTCATCTGCTTCTCTACATTCAACAATTGCTCTATTTTGGCGTCTAAATTTCCCGTGCTCTCCTAGAATTTCACAAGAATAATCAGTTTCAGCCATCAAAATCACAGGTTTCAGTAATAAACAAAGGGAGAAGAAGGCAAGCAGCAAGTATAAGCTTCTTGTTAGCAAATTCAAAGATAGGGCTTGGCGAAAAGTAACGAATCATTAAAAAAACAATTAGATCTCAGTGGCATGGATCGTTCTTGAATTTCAAAGTCTTATGGATGAACAGAGTAAATGAAAGCAGTAAAGCAGTCAAAGGAGTAACAGAAACAAAGGTGCATACCATGGTTGTGGGCGAGAGAGATCTCCAATTCAGAAACTCAGACGCCGATAATTGAGAAAACGAAGGAAACGTGCCCGTCAGGAAAATGGTCACTCTTTATGGAGCCTCACGGTGCGATGGGCCTAGCTACCTCCGCCCAGTGGGCCTTCTTATAACTTGTATCAGTCAGGACGACTCGTTTCGTTTCCTTTGAAGCGCGACACATTAAAACTTTTTATTTTTTGGGCACAGTAGATATTACAACCATCAATGGTAAATTAATTTATATTGTACAACTCATTTGCAACAAATATTTCCATACTTACAACTCAACTTCTAGGATTTATAATTCATCTTCTAAGATCTACACAATTTTCATAATTTATAACTAAATATGAAAATAAGCTTTCAAGATTTATATACCAAGCACTATGTTATTTGTCTAATAAACACATAAAAATTCAAGTGGAAACATGCCATTAATGTATGATTTTTATGGATGAAGCAGTTTTATTATCTTCATTCATTGAAGGATATTTTTTCCCATTATGTATAATTTAGATTCTTTGATTAAGTAAGGCGTGATTGGTTTATTTGCATTATTTTATGAGGCGTCACTTCTAAAAAAAAATGTATTTCAAGAAAATTAATATAAAAATTACTTAGTTAGTTTATATTTTTTAAAAATAAATAACAATTTGATTTTAAAAATATATGATTTTTAAATTGAAGACAACATGCTAAAAAAGTATAACTTAACTAGATATTATTTAAGGAAAACATTTTTACATGTCACTATAATTTACACCAATTTTTAATTAAGCCCCTGTAATTTCAATCATTTTAATTTTGCCCTTTTACTTTCAGACGTCAGAACCGATAACCCCTCCCCACCAATTCTGTTTAAAAATTAATAATATTGCTAATGGTAAATGATGTGGCTAACGGATATCTCCACATAAGTATCTAGGTATATTAAAAGGTTGGCACAAGGGACAGGCAGAAGCATTTACAGGAACTAAAGGCTCATTTGGTATCATAAAAATATGTTGATAGAAATGAAAATGAAAATTGAGATGGACATGAAAATAGGAATGGAGACATATATGGAAATAAAATTATGAAACTAGTTTGGTATTCATGTGGAATTTATGTATTATTTTTATTTGATATTTGTCTTTATAATGTGAAATTACTAATAAGCCCTCGTCTCAAAAATCCTAACATAACACAAATATCCAAGCCACTACAAGAATTACAATTGCCGGCACCTAAGAATCAAGCAAGCCAAATTAATCATACTATCAAAGCTATGCCAGAAATTCAAAGCTACAACCACTATTATCAAAAATCGAAGAAGCCATTTGGGGAGGGAAGTTGCTTGGTCTGAGAAGATGAATAAAAGATGCAAGACAAGCTGGAAGGTTTAGAGACAAAGTTTGAATGACTTCAGGTGGCCATAAAGGAAGTGGAAACTATGGTAGCGAGAAATGCTGATCTTGAGACTAAAGTTTCCAAACTTGAACGTGGTTTATAGTGTCTTAAGATGGAGTGGATGAACTAGTAGAAGACAACGACAAATATAGAGATGATGGAATTGGAGATGTATTGCCATCACGAAGAGGATGAGTCACTATCATGTCACTGCTGTATCCCTGTCGTCACCCCTCAACACATCCTTGTCGTCACTGTTGCTGCATCCTTATCACCCTCAATCTTCACCATTACTAGCTGCCAAAGGTAATGTTAGTCTAAGGGTTGGTGGAAATGAATTTTCATGCTCCTCCACATGTAAGCCAATTTCATCAATTTTGATGGAATCAACTTCACGTGTAAGCTTAATTCAACTCTTTTTTATTTAATTAAACACATAAAATTTTAAATTTTATATTCATTTTTATTTCTATCATTTCAATTCTAGCATATTAAACGAGGCATAATGGGTCAACATCCAAATAACAACCATCCCTTGTCATGTAGAAGGTCATATACAATGGTCACGTGTTTACATTCTTGCAAGTTTATTTGGAAAAATGAAATATATGAGGAATTCATTTTTTTTAAATCAATTTTCAAAAGTCTTCTTCAATAAGCAAATGACAATGAGGTTTTCTAAAATGACATAATTATTTTCAAGCCCCTGGAGATCATTCTGACATTAATTTTTTTAGTGAAATTACCAAAATACCCTAATTTTAAAATAAAAAATTGTACAAAAAAAGTTGTAACTATTTATTCCATTTTAGTCATTATAAAAAAAAATAGTTATTATTTAAACTAAAGTAATAACAAACATTTATAGAACTTTAACTTTAATGAATCAAAAATTTGCATAAGAAAAGTTATAATTACTTATTCCATTTTAGTCATTATAAAAAAAGTAATTATTATTTAAATTAAAGTAGTCATGGATATTTACAACATTTGAACTTCAATGAATAAAAATTGGTATAGGAAAAGTTATAATTATTTATTTTATTTTAGTCATTGCTAGGAGAAAAACAATTATTGCTTAAATTAAAGTAATCATAAATATTTACAACACTTGAACTTTAATAAATCAAAAATTTACATAAGAAAAGCTGTAATTGCTTGTGCTATTCTAGTCTTTATAAAAAAATTATTATTTTTTAAACTAAAGTAATCACTTATATTTACTTTTTGATTGCTAGGGTTGTTACTTTTTTTATTTTAAATAAGTAGTATTTTAGTCATTTCACCAAAAAATATTAATATTAATGTCAAAAAGGTCATTTGGGACTTGAGAAGAATCATAATATTTTACAAAATCTCATTATCATTTAATATTTAAGAGGGATTTTTATGTAATTTTTCCATTCATTTTTGCATTTTATCAAATATTGAATCTCTCATCTCTTTTTTATATGTAACAATTTCTTGATCTCAAATAGCTCCGACAAATGATGTGTTTTGCTTTCATGTTGAATTGCTTTCTAATGATATTATTCCTCGATGTTAGTCAACTTTTTCCCACAAGAATCATGACAGACTTTCAACGCAAGGTAACCATTGTGAAAGGTGAACAACCATCGGTTATAGATGTTATAACAAGGTCTAATATGGGAACATTTCTATTTTCCAAAAAAATAAAAATAAATAAACGATCTATTTTGTAATATATTTTCAAAAAATATTTTAAAAATAAAAAATATATAAAAATATTTAATTCAATTTTTTTATTTTTTAAAAAATATGTTTTATAAAATATCAATTTTTATTGCAATGAAACAAAAACATTTCATACAATCGTCTTAACGATGAATTGAATGTTGTGGAGGAATTGACGAGCGCGCTCGGTTTCTTGCGGCGGGAGCCAAAATCAGGAATCCCAGGCTTGGAGGCTACCACCAAGAGACACAATAAATACTTTCCGAGACCAAACCAAACTTAAGATTAAGCAATACGAAGTCAGCGAACACTAGGTGTGTGATCTCTAGCGCCCTGGTGTTTTTTCGCTTGCTAATTTGTTATTGTGTCGCTAGCTCCTCATAAATCCATCAGAAGTTTCTTCTGTAGATTAGTGTTGAGTTTCAGTCTGCAAAATGTTCTCTATTCCACCATTCGATTTTTCCAAGGTCATTCTGTGCTAAGTTGTGAACTGGGTCCTCTTCAGCTCTATTTTTGAATTTGAACGAACAAAGCTTAAAATTTTTATTGGTTGATTTCTGTTGTTGCTATTCTGGAACTTGAAGACTGAATTTTGAGCACTTGAGACACTAGGCTATCATCCGAGGGTTCCTATCCACTGTTTAATTTCTCAACGTTTCTTTAAAGTCTAATTCGTCTAGTACTAGTGCTACGGGTGTTTCAGTATCAGTGCTTAATTTTATAATTCGTGATTGTATTCATGTATTGCACACAGGTCCTACGCTTGCTGTCTCTGAGTGTTTAAAGTTTAAACAAATCCAAGTTGTTAGCTTAAATGGGAATGGAACGCAATGTATATTTGGCTGCTCTGAGTCGAAGTCTTTGGCATAGGTTTCGAACTTTTTCTCAGATCAGTTGGCCTCTAGCCTCTGATGTAAGTGTATCAATTGCTGCCCTTGTAAGTATTATTGGTGCGATATTGGCAGTGAGAGATGGCAAAATGGGGATACCAACTAGCTTGCCATGGCCGTTTGGTGGAGAGAATATATCAGAGAAGTCGATCTTCATAGCAGGGTTGCAAAATCTTGGGAATAATTGTTTCCTTAATGTTGTTTTACAGGTTTGTTCTTTGAATATACCTTTCTACTGTCTATTATTTATCCTTATTCTTGCTAATTTTCCTTGAATGGGGTTTTAGCACAAAGGAGAACCAGAAAGTCAAACATTAGCTTTCGAGTTTCCTTTTTTTTCCCCAGTGGGCAAATGATATAAGTTGAGATTCGTTGCAGACTTTGGCCAGCTGCTCTTGCTTCCAGACTTTTCTTAATAGCGTGATCCAAGAATTTGGAACTGAGGACTTGACAGAACGGATGCCTCTTACATTTGCTTTGGCTAGTTTATTACAAGGTAGTACATTACCAAGTGAATTGCTTCAATCTCATTTCTATATCTAGAAGTTTTTCACCTTGGAGGCTTTTATTTCAGTTTGTAGTGGAGCTAAGTTCTTGGTGGCCTGACTTATTTTATGCCGTCTTCCTCTCACAGTATTTTATTATCTTACAATTTAGTTTGTATTTTAAGCACATCTTGGCAAAAAGAATTCAATCCAAGTCCCAGTTTTGTACAAGGGTCCGTTTTTTCGCATCCCCATTCTCTCTCTCTCTCTCTCTCTCTCTCTCTCTCTCTACCTATCCCCCAGTTTTATATGATATTCTTTGTGTGACAGAATAAGCCCCTTGATGATTTATGCCTAGAAAATGATGATTTCTAGATGTTGAGGTCTTTTGAAATTGATTTTCTGGAGCAACATTGCCCTTGAGCCATCATATTTTGTACTTGCTGGTTTTGTATCAAATTGGGTGAACCGTCATGTAACCATGTTCCTGAGTTGATTTAATAGTTTGTATGTGCAGAATTGAGCTTTGTTAGTGCAGAAAAGGTTACATTGAGTCCACAAAAGGTTATGCTTGCCATGTCAGATTACATTCCAAACTTTAATCTCACAAGCCAGCAGGTAGAATCATGTTTGTTTAATGACTTGTGAACCAAATAATGTTCTAGCCCTGTCTCGTTCATGATTAATTCTTGTGCTTGTAGGATGCTGCTGAAGCATTTCTTCATCTGTTATGCTCTCTGAGAAATGAGTTTGGAGATTTTTATGCTCCAAAAGAGAGTTCTTTAGCAGACAGTTTTGGTTCTAATCATAGAATTCTTACACCACTACAGAGGGTTGGGCAGACTGAGTGGGAAAGATGGCAACAGCTGTTTCTTGGGCCATTGGATGGGATTCTTGGTAGCACTTTAACCTGTCAAAGCTGTTCATCACAGGTTCATTAGGCTTTCCTGAAGGCAACTGCAGTTGTAAAGTATACATGATTTTTGGTCAATGATATGCATTTGCATATATGCTGTAATGTCCCTGCACGCTAGTTTAGAATGCTTCCAACCAATACTGTAATTAATTTTATCTGGCTATTGGCATTCAAATAAGGCTTCTTCTTGTTGTTTTTGTGTTATCATTCAAATGATTTTTGTTAGTAATAACTGGTCACCAGTCAGGCTATGTTTGAGAAAAGAAGTTTTATGGACTTGTGGCCCAAAAGCTTTGAAACTTGATTTGAAGCCATGACATTTGTGGTTAACATCAGTGCTAGTTGGTAGAACCTCTAGGGGGAAATAGAGGTTGTGGTTTTAGATTGGCTTACGATCAAGAGAAATGTTATGAATGTGGTCATAAGTTGAAGAGCATGACTTGGGTGCTAGAAAACAAGAAAAGACTTAGTATTGATCCTATTCCGATTTTTTTTTCCCCTGGCATTTTGTTGCTGGCTTGGTCAGAGATAAAATAGTGGTTGAGAAGATAAATTTTAAGATCACAATGTTATCATGACAGCTTAGATTATTGAACTTCTTTGAAAGATTTATGGCTATGCTACTTATTGAATGATTGAAATAATTACTTTTAATTACTTCGAAAATTCTTATGCATGCAACTTAATGAATGACTGAAATAATTACTCATAATTACTTCGAACATTAAATTTAATTTGATGACTTACTGGTCAATCTGGACGTGTAGCATCTATGAGAGATACATGAACACATGCGAGGCTGGTGATTGCATTGTCAGTTGTTGATTAGAAAGTTCTTTACCTTATCTTTAAATTGATTATGACTATATATATCTGTTACAATCTGTTCTTTTTTCCTTTTCTAATTATTATTTTTTTTCTTTTTGCAGATCTCATTGAGTTTCGAATCTTTTGACTGTTTGCCACTTTCACCAGTGCTTACTGGGGGTTCCACCATTGTATGTCTTTAAGTGTTGAAATAGTTTGGTTCGCTGTTATTTTATATCTTATGGTGTATTAGATACCTTACTTTAATTATTCTTATTTTCTATATGATGGTGATTGGAAGTTACCGAAAGGGTGCAAATACAATTAGCATTTTACAAGAGTTGATAATGTTAAAATTCAAGAATATGAAGCTCCTTTGGGTAGAGTTTGGAGTGGTGATTTGGATTTTAAATTTAAAATCTCACATTTAACATCCTTGTATTTAAAATATTTTGTTTGGATAGTATAACAAATTTCAAATTCAAAGACAGTAGAGAAAGGAGATGGGAAATGAAAATTGAAAGAGATGAGAGGCTTAGTGTAGCTAGCATTTCAAATAACTATTGCATAAGAGGGATTTGAAATTACAAAGAAATTATAATAAAATATGGATTTAGATCTTAATCAAATCCAAATTCATGAAATTTTTATGGATCCAAATGTTGAATTTGGCTCAAATCCACATCTCCTTACATCCAAATGTAACATTAATTTTTTGAGTGGCATGTGATATCTTCAAAAAGGTGGCATCCTATGCTTCCAAGTATCATGGATATCAACCAGTGTACTAACCACTTGTATCTTGGGTTCTGGGTTGAAGTAAATCTTGCACCAAACTACTCTATTAATCCTTTGATAGTGGAAGCATTTCCTCCCATGATTTATTAATCATTTGATGCTACATGTGAACAGCCATTTGGTCGTACACTGTTGGATTGCCTGAGGCAGTTCATAGTTGCCGAACATGTTGAGAACTATCACTGCAGCCACTGTTGGCATAATGCTGCAATCAAATATCTATCTTTGATGGAAGGGAATGAGGTAATTCCTATGCATTTTTTAATCAAATATATAATGACTGTATGACACCTTTCTTCGCACACGCACGCACGCACGCACGCACGCACGCACGCACGCACGCACGCACGCACGCACGCACGCACGCACGCACGCACGCACGCACGCACGCACGCACGCACGCACGCACGCACGCACGCACGCACGCACGCACGCACGCACGCACGCACGCACGCACGCACGCACGCACGCACGCACGCACGCACGCACGCACGCACGCACGCACGCACGCACGCACGCACGCACGCACGCACGCACGCACGCACGCACGCACGCACGCACGCACGCACGCACGCACGCACGCACGCACGCACGCACGCACGCACGCACGCACGCACGCACGCACGCACGCACGCACGCACGCACGCACGCACGCACGCACGCACGCACGCACGCACGCACGCACGCACGCACGCACGCACGCACGCACGCACGCACGCACGCACGCACGCACGCACGCACGCACGCACGCACGCACGCACGCACGCACGCACGCACGCACGCACGCACGCACGCACGCACGCACGCACGCACGCACGCACGCACGCACGCACGCACGCACGCACGCACGCACGCACGCACGCACGCACGCACGCACGCACGCACGCACGCACGCACGCACGCACGCACGCACGCACGCACGCACGCACGCACGCACGCACGCACGCACGCACGCACGCACGCACGCACGCACGCACGCACGCACGCACGCACGCACGCACGCACGCACGCACGCACGCACGCACGCACGCACGCACGCACGCACGCACGCACGCACGCACGCACGCACGCACGCACGCACGCACGCACGCACGCACGCACGCACGCACGCACGCACGCACGCACGCACGCACGCACGCACGCACGCACGCACGCACGCACGCACGCACGCACGCACGCACGCACGCACGCACGCACGCACGCACGCACGCACGCACGCACGCACGCACGCACGCACGCACGCACGCACGCACGCACGCACGCACGCACGCACGCACGCACGCACGCACGCACGCACGCACGCACGCACGCACGCACGCACGCACGCACGCACGCACGCACGCACGCACGCACGCACGCACGCACGCACGCACGCACGCACGCACGCACGCACGCACGCACGCACGCACGCACGCACGCACGCACGCACGCACGCACGCACGCACGCACGCACGCACGCACGCACGCACGCACGCACGCACGCACGCACGCACGCACGCACGCACGCACGCACGCACGCACGCACGCACGCACGCACGCACGCACGCACGCACGCACGCACGCACGCACGCACGCACGCACGCACGCACGCACGCACGCACGCACGCACGCACGCACGCACGCACGCACGCACGCACGCACGCACGCACGCACGCACGCACGCACGCACGCACGCACGCACGCACGCACGCACGCACGCACGCACGCACGCACGCACGCACGCACGCACGCACGCACGCACGCACGCACGCACGCACGCACGCACGCACGCACGCACGCACGCACGCACGCACGCACGCACGCACGCACGCACGCACGCACGCACGCACGCACGCACGCACGCACGCACGCACGCACGCACGCACGCACGCTCGCTCGCTCGCTCGCTCGCTCGCTCGCTCGCTCGCTCGCTCGCTCGCTCGCTCGCTCGCTCGCTAGAGATATATTAAGAATAAATACTATTTTAAGTTATTTTAGACATTTTCTATTTAATAATATTTTTTAGATTATTTTTCCGTTTTGTTGAGTGGTCCTTAAATTTAGGAGTAGTGGATTTTGAAGATTATGTTAGTCATTTTATTTCTTTATTTATTAGGTAGTTATGCCCCATTATCTGATTTAGGGATTAGTGGAGTATTTTTAGGAATTACTAGTTATTCTTTGTCTATAAATATTGAGGCACATCATGTAGAAATCATCTGGAAATACAATCATTATTTTGTTATATTAATGGAGATTCTCCTTTGGCTTTATTAGTTGTATGAGTTTAAGATTTTTGCTCATCTTCTATTAAAGATTTTCATTTGTCTTTATTAATTTATAAAGTTAGATTTTGATTTCATATTTCGATAAAGATTTATTTTCCTTATTTCTCTTTACCTATCTTGAATCCTATCACACGCACGCACGCACACGCAAAGAAACCTAAGGGTTTGATAGATGGGGTTTGATATGATTAATATCGCCGTTTATGTGTGTTTTTGGCTCTTGTTACTCAGACAGAAATTGAGAAGCTCGGTAGATGTTCTAAAGAAGAATTCTGTGACTGCCGAAAGCTTTATAATCTTGAAAAGCTACCTTGGTCAAATAGGTTTTCTCATACTCTGAAGCAGCTAAGTATTGCTCGGTGTCCAAGGGTATGCATGCTTGATCTTCTTTCTGCACTTTCTGTTAGAGATGTGAGTCGCTCCTGGAGTCAACCAGACATCTTATTAATCATGCGAGGCTAGATCAAAATTTGACGTTCCTTTTCGGATGTGGCAATTCACTACATCATTTGGCATAAAGCTCATTATCAATTGAACTCCAATGCTCATTATCAATTGGTTCTTGGTGCTTTGGAAAGGCTTCTCATTGTTTTTCATGAGATTTTCGTCCCTCTGTATGCCCATGACCATGCATGTAAAATTGAATTTATCTTTAGCTGCCTTCTCTCTGATGTTCAATATGGATATTTGGCATTTAAACTATCAGTAAGTCTGTACTCTTGTAGCTCAATGTCTGAGCTACTAATATGTCCAATTATATGATTGCAGATTCTGTGCATCCAATTGAAAAGAGTTTCTATGAACGTTTTTGGGGAACCAGCCAAACTGCAGGTACTTGGATTTTTGACAGTGGATTTTAATACATAAAAGCGTAAAAAAAAAAAAAAAAATCTTTTGCCCTTCCCCTTAATGTATACCCTATAACCTGAAACTCATTTTGTTTAAGGAGAGCGGACATAAATTTGACTGCCATATTAGTTAATATTAAACTTTTACCAGAGCAGGAATAAAAGGGATAATGTATGGGCATTCTTAGAATTTTACTTGATAATATCTTATCTTGATGGTGAAAATGGATCTTCAGGGCCATATTTCTTTTCCATTGATTTTGGATTTGTTCCCATTCACAACAAGCAAGCTAGGAATAAAGATAAAGGAGGCAGATACACAAACACTTCCAACTACGCTGCAAACTAATGGAAGTAATCCCATGCCAAGTCAATATATCCATCAATCTGAGAGAAGTATGTTGAAGTTGGATGGCATTTGTGGATCAAGAAGAGGACAGATAAATTCAGCGAATCGCATAGATAATGGATTTGTCTCCCCTGAGAATGGACAGAAACTTCATGGTGACACCGTGTTTCCCTGCAACAGGGGCTCCTCAGAAACCATTCATGGAAGCACTCATACTCGGTTCACTGGCGAGGTTGGTCCTGTGGTGTTGAGCTTAAACTCATTTCTTGTACATTTTCACCCCTAAACATTTAAAATTGTGATAATCTCCCCCTGCCGTTAAAATTGAGAAAACTTCTGTTACTTTATAGTGTGGGGCCTCTGACAAAAAGCCATGGTGTAATGCCATGTGTCTGAACGTCTGGGCCCCACATTATCAAAGTAATGAACATTTTCTCAATTTTAATGACAAGGGGGAAATTGTTATGATTTTAAATGTTTAGGGGTGATACATAAAAAATGAGTTTAGAGGGTTTTAGATGCTCTTGAACCTATAGTTTGCCAAATTGCCATTTAACCCTATTTTTAGTCTTTTATCATGTGCTAGGTGCAGGTGGGTGTATCTAGTGATTCAGTTTCTGAAGAAACATGTTTGTACCAACTTGTTTCCGTTGTGCAACACTGCGGAAAAGCTGGTAGTGGGCATTATACCGTTTATAGACGAGCAGGGATGGAATCATCAAATTCTTCTGATGATCAGTTCAATCAGAATCAGACTCCTCCTATACAGTGGTTTTGCGTTTCAGATTCTGAAGTACATTCTGTTTCAGAGGAAAATGTTCTTTCTGCAGAAGCCAGCTTGCTTTTCTATGAGAAAATTCCAGAGAACTGAAGAGGGATATAGTACAATCAATACAAGGAATAGTGGGTCTTATCTCATCCTAGCCACTGGCCCAGAATAAGCAATCAAAGACGCCAAAAGTGGATTGAAGGTGCTAGCCAATAGCCATGAATGATGCAATAACTCAGAAGAACTGGACCAGTCAGCACAATAGTTGCTGAAGTGAAGAATACAAGCTCTGTTAACCCTTCTTTAAAATAGGAGAGACAAGCTCTTGGGAGACAAACTCTATCTTAGGCCTCTGCACCAAAAACAAAAATGGAAATCATCGAAGTTAGGGTGAGAGTAGAATCCTTACAGTTAAATCATTCCCCATTTTAGTGATTTTTCATCTGGCTTATACATTAGATGTACTTAAAGAAATTTTCCTTATGGGAAGGTTTTTAAGTGATTATCGTACCTTCGAGAAACCTTAGTTCTTTCTGGAGTCACAAAATCCAAGTGATATTGTATTTTTGAACCCCCATATTGAATGAATGCTATGAATCGGGACTTCGAATTTGCAGGTGTATAGAACAATATCAGTGCAAGTTTATCATATTTTGTATAATTGCAAACCTGCCTAGTGCATGTGTGAATTTCAGACTGCTCATCAGAGGACTATTAAAATCTGCTCTTTACATCATCTGGGAAAAATGGCTGATTTTTTTATTAGATTTATAATTTTTAATGGTATTTTTGCATCCAAAATGAATCTGGTCGAACAATAATGAAATATCCCATGAGAAGCTTTTAATGAGGAAATGAGAGGAGAAAAGATCGCAGTCCTAGTAACATCAAGAAGCCATATTTTTCCAGTTTTAGTTCGCCCTTAAAAATGATAACTAATCAAGCAGCTGTTTCATGTTTCTTTTTTGTTATATTTGTTGGGAAAAATTCCCTTGGTTGGTTGAAATTGCCACAAAAATAATAGATATCACTTGAAAACTTGGGCAATTTTATTGGCAACAACAGATCGTTTCTTAAGATATTAATTTTATTTATATAAAACCTGAAAAGTGATATATTAAACAAATCGCTGCTTTTCATCTAACCCCGTTTTTTCTTTGATGAACGGCTGCTTCACTGTGACATGCATCGTTCTCACGTAAACACTTCTCAGAAACAATACACACACACACAAAACTAGCAAATGCTTTGTTCAATTGGTAAGAGAATTGTTAGAGGTCTCAAATTCAAGTCTTCAAAACACAACAACGTTTGGTGGTAGATCCAGATTAGTTGGAGCTTTAGCTTCGGACGCCGAATGATTTACTACTAGTATATAATATATAAAATATATATATATATATATATATAATGTTAAGATGAAATTGTATATACACCAAAACTTTATATCACAGGCAAGCTAGTACAATCGCTCTAGTAAATTACAGTCTTCTACACGGGAAAATCTGAGAAATCAGACTATAGTTTGGTGGAAATTCATTAGATTGTTAAAAACTAACATTATAAAACTTGTCTACATATACCACAAAACTGTATACATATATGTATATATATATATATATATAAATCAGTTGTGGATTGGAGGCTTCCTTGAGGCTGGTGTATAATCCATTGAGAACACTTCACCCTCTGCATTATTAGCCTCATTATTATTGTTTGCTTTTGGCTTAAGCACTGTTTGATGATGATCATGTCCCTCTTGTTGTTCGTGACCAGTACTATTAATTGTCTCTTTCTCTTTCAACGATCGTGCTACACAGAAGAACAAAGAAAAACTATGAGAAAAACAATAAACAATAATAATCAACATGCACTGATGATAATAATAATAATAACAATCCTTCAGAGATGAAGAGAAAAACTAGCTAGTATACCTCTAGCTTGGAGCGAGATGAAGCAGAGGATGAAGAAAACCACAATCAGAAGGCGTTTGTTTACTAAAGAAGCCATACTTGATCTTAAAATATTGAAGTTCTTGAGGTGATGATCTGATCTGTGTGTGTGTCTGATGAATATGCATAATGTGAGTTCAATGAAGACGCTTATATAGAGGAAGAATAGGACCTATTTGGCATCAAGATTATTGGGTTTGTAGGCTTTCATGGTATAACGTTACATGAACGGTGCATGGCCTACGAGTGTCACCATGTCTCCCTTTGTCTGCCTTGAAATAGACGGCACTTGTGCTTTTTGTGAACTTGCATTTAATATTAATTCTTCAAAATTTTGGAATAGGTCGTAACTAGATCATTTTTTTAAATTAATTAGTCTTAAGATAATGTTTTTAAATTTTTTAGATAACTCATTGTTTTTATCTACAATAATATAGAATGTTGAAGATCATTATGATTATTATCTACACTAAAATGAAACCTAGATAATTTATTGTGGCTGAGATAAGGTGAGCGAAAGGATTTGAATTCTATCTCCAATTCTCTCATCTAGGAACTATCCACATTGTGGCCACAAAAATTTCATTAAAACTTGAAAATTCATTATTGACCAAAAATAAATGAAACAACATAATAATGAGTTAAAAGATAGTTTTATGAGAATACATTTTAATCATTTCTATGCTACAACCACATAAATCGGATTGAGATATAGAGCATAAAAAAAAAAAATTGTGATTTGGTTTTTTTTTTTTAATATATCTTGTGCTAACATTTCCGGCAATCGTTTGATTAAATCCTCTCATCCAATAAGTGTCACATGGGACACTTACTGGATGCATGAGGGAACAATTTATGTTATTCATTAGATTCAGATCTTGAGCGAAATGAAAATTAAATGATAGTAAATGAGTTGTATATGCAAATAAAGATTTAAAAGAAAAAAAATTATTGTGAGGTTTCAGATGTTATAAATATAATGTGTTTATAAAGTTAATTAAGTTACATTATATTTAGTTAGATTTCTAAAACTGAAAGTCAATGCATGATTTCTCCGATTGGTTAAGAGTGTATGTAAGTAAAAATTATTAGAGTTGTATCTTTCTATCTTAGCTAACACATATTGAATAATCTCAACTGGACTTGGAACGAGAGAATTATATATGATCAAAATACTAACATGTGTCAAAATTATCTAACACACAACTTTATACTTTATCTCCAAATCCAAACGCTGCCACAATTTTCCTGAGACGCCTCATGTATTGTAACTCACGCAAGTGCGTAAGTATATTTGGACTAAAAATCAAATATTTTCAAGTTTTACCATCCCAGTCCTAGCTAACACACACACACACACACACACACACACACACACACACACACACACACACATGCGCGTGTATACATATGTGCATTATCTTCTATTTTCCAAGTTGATTCACCACAAGACCCATTAAAATTCCCTGAAAAAAATACATATATACAGAAGTGTGAATGCTTGGGAATTAAAAGCCACATTATTGATGATCATTTATGAATACTGTCATTTTTTGTGAATATATATATATATATATATATATATATGCACATGCATATATATTGAATATGCATTCTCTTTCTTGACTCAAATCAGGTGCTTATAGTCAAACTTTAAGTGCGCGTATGCGTAAGCAAAACGAAAATATTTTTCTTTTCAATTTCTTAACTAAAGTAGAACAACTATTAATGCGTATCCCATATATAAACTCATAAAATTCAAATTATATAACCTTTTATTTACTTCACAACCGTCATTTATTCAACTACTGCACTCATCATCCTTTTGTCTAAATAAGATAAATTAATGTTAATTTAAACAGCATATTTGAAGGATATACGTATAGATTTGGGTTATACATAAATTTTCCATGCAGATCTGGTGCCAAGATCATCCTAGGGCAAAGACATATTAATTAACCATGTCCATATTTGACTTTTAATTACTCTTCTACATTGACATAATAAATCAATTCGAATATTCTACAATCACGAAAATATCTGGATATGTTCAGAAAAAAACAAAGCCTATTAACTCTCATATGTGTTTAACTCATGACTCTAATTAATTTGATTTCTCAAACTTATTTTATTCCATCCTTGCATTTATTAATTATATCTAATATTTGAATAATATATAGTGCCGTGCTGCGACATACTTTTTGGTCACGAAACAAATATCGAAAAACTAATCATGAAAATGGTACATATAATCTCTTCGGATAATATCACGAAATAATGCTTCTTCAGAAAATATAGGCTAGTTAATCATTTCAAAATTGCCACTTACACATAATATAGTGTCATATATATTTACATACATTTGGGCTTTGTTTATCGACATTATATACATGCGCCTAGAAGAAAAATTGCAAAACATGTCAAAATATACAAGTTTGAAACGGAGGCATGATTTGACAAGTTTGATGAAGTCTGTACATATAATTTCCGAGCAAGTAGCAATTAATCATTCAAAGAGGTGGATCGAAAAGGTTGTTGTTTTCTCTGCTTGTTTTTACGTATGAATGAGAGAGACAGGGATTAATTAGGTGGGTTAATTGACTAATTATGAAAAATAGTTAATTAATTGAGGGAATGAATGGAGGGAGAAAAGGCCGACAAGGGAGAGAGGGAGGATCATTTTCAGATAAGACAATGAGAAATTTTTGGATGAGAGTAAGACAACATAGACAGTGGTTTCTATGCTTCACATGGGATCTTCTTCTTGGTAGGGTTCTCTTGTCCCTTGCATATTCGGCAAATACCAAACATGACTTAACATCCTCATTAATTAAATTGGCTCTACATATGAGGGAATTAATTGCAACTACAAGTGGGAATTGAGCTCTCATTTATCATCCAGATGATGTGGCCAAACTATTGCCAGGAAATCACAAATAATTAATCACTAGACACTTGGTTCAACCAATAAGAAAGTTGTACCATCTCTAGAGATCTAGAATTCAAGCTTTCAAAATGCAGTAGCATTAGTGATAGAACTTTCATATGAAATAATTTCAACCTGACTCAATCTAAATTAGTTATATTTGGGCCTGGTTATAATCTTCGTAGCTCAATGTGAAGTAGGTCTAAGATATAGTAAAAAAACTCAAAAATTACTGACAATGGCTCAAAAAATTATAGAAAAAGATCAACAAATTTTTTTGTGTGGTAATTTTCAAGGTTCTTTTCTATTATTTTCTAGCCAAATAACAATCAAAATTAATTTTTTAACAATAGAATTAGATTGCATTGTTTTAAAAAATTGAAGGGAAAAATCATATCAAAAATAAATTTAGGATTCTAAACGCTCATGAACTTATAACTTAGAATCAATTTACTCTTTTTATGAGAGTTAAATCAGAGATTATAAGAGTTTATTCCAACGATTCATTAATTTGCTACTCATAAAGATCGTGGATCTTACGAGTTGCAAATGGACAACTGACATGAGCATTTGCCACCTCTTATTGAATTTGCTATTCACATGCCTTTATCTTTTCGTGTGTTATTTTTTATTTTCTATATTTTTATTTTAAATTTTTAAGCAATTTTTGCCTTTTCATTTCATCATTTTTTTCTCAACTTAAACATGTTTTCTAGACATGTTTAATTTAATTTTTATTCAATATATGATGATATCTGATCATATCTCCTAAATTTTCAATTCCTTGCTTTATGTTTTCCTCTATTTTCTCAATTCAAATCAATGAACACTAGTATAATAGTTTTTCCGATGAGATTACTAAGTAAAGGATTATGGCTGGACTTAAGAAAAGTTTTCCCCAACGTGACTATCGATTTACAACTCATAAGATCATGCGATCTTATAAGTTGTAAATGGACATAAACTCTTATGTTTCTTAAACACTGAATCTACTTTTTATTATTGAAGGAAAATGACAGTAAAGTTCTGAAAGATCAAACTAATGACAGTTAGATTCTTGATAATTTTTTTTTTTTTACAAAATGAGCTACAATTATTAATTTAGACAATTGTAAATAAGTTAAAAATTTCAGTTGCAAGCTGAATAGAATTTACATTTAGAATTACTTTTAAATTTATAATTATTTAAATTGATATTACTAAATTTATTCTTTTAAGACTTAATTATCATTTTCCTTTTATTGACTTCAAAATCTCTCTATTTCTGGAACTATTCTCATTAATTCAAATTATTACCTCCATTTCCCTCTTTGTGTTATTATTAAATAGTAGTTATATCTTTAGCCTTTACCACTCAAGCCAACTTTAGTTGGTAGTAGTTATGTCTTTTTTATTATTTTTGATTATCTAGAGATTCAAGGTATGTTTTTCATTAATAATTTTTTCATTCAATTATCTTTCCCTTTTTATTTCCTTTCATAAACCAAATGAGCCCTAATACATAACATTCAGATCTAGAATTCCAAGCTATCACAGACATGACTTGTGTATTTTTATTCATTCATTCATCTATTTTTCTCAACATGTTATGTTAGGTAGAAAAGGGATGGAGGAAGAAAGCGGGGGGAAGGAAAGGATAAAAATTAAGAAATAAAAGAATATATATATATATATATATAGAGAGAGAGAGAGAGAGAGAATCTATTTGGTTGAAGTAGAGTGGGAATAAATTAAGAATAAAAATTTACACAAAAAAATAGATTGAAGTAATCAATCTTTTTTTTTTTGGTATTATACTAACCAACCAAATTAGTTTTGGCGCCCCCCCCCCCAAAAAAAAAAAAAAAATACTGCGATACAACATCCTTTCTTCTCTCCACCATACATGTAGTTGTGGAACCCAATATTCTTTATACTCTCTCTCTCTCTCTATATATATATATACACATATATTTATATATACTTTCTTTGGTCCTATTTATATGAGATCTTTTAAAAATAATTTTTCATCCAAAATATAAGATACTTTGTAATAAGTAAATTATTTTTTCAATTTTACTGCTTTTGATTAGCGTAAAGGCATTTAATATATAGTTGTATTATTATTTAAAATTAAAAATAAAACTGAAAATACATCTACTTTTTATGATATCAAGAAAAAAATTAATTTTTTTAAAATGTATT